GAGCATAAGCTTTCGTGGGTAAAAAACCCACTTCTACTCCATGCATCTGAAGAAGTGGGTTTTTACCCACAAAAGCTTATGCCTAAATAAATCTGTTAGTCTTTAAGGTGCCACCGGACTCCTCGTTACTTAATATTCACTTATTGGCTAGCATAGGAGCCTCGAGGTCCTGTACTGTGTTCGCCACCACCTGGCTACAGACTAGGAATCTGAGATGAAGCTCACAGGCATACGGAAGAATAAGATGTCATCTTCTAATCTGCTCCTCCCAGAAAGTACAGTTTGATTTAGAATGCTGCTATGGCTATCCCTAGTTACCTGGAGTTTGCCATGACTTGCAATTTGACTCCCTCTCCACGGAGATCATAGAAGATCAGTTTCCCTCCAGAGGCACGTTTTGCATGGATTCGACCTAGAAACCCAAAGTTAGATGGTCCAATGGTTACAGCAAGTCAAAGTCAGAATGCTTTCCATTTTCCCAAAACAAAGATACAACTCCATGCCCAAGCCAAGGCACAGCATCACTCCTACCTTGTACCCAGGCAACAGATCACCAACCTCCATCCCATCATTGGTTGGCAAGGTAATGGAAGTCTCAGAATTAATCCCTCTCATCAGACCTGCTCCCTTGCTTGTCAAGGACTCTAAAGCTCTACCTTCTATCCCAAAGGTCCCAACCCTGCTACAGCCTTAGCACCATGAGGAATTGCTGAGCAAGGTCCACAGAGTTGTGGAGGCATTCCCATCTATCTCCCTCCAAGAATGGTAAGTGCTTGTCTTCACAAAGTGGCAGACTGTCTCCCCCAAGTCCCAGGTGAGTCTTTACCTGCCACTCTCACTGTAATGTCTCTCAGGTGATCTCCTGCCTGCAGGTGGCTGTACCTCTCTATGAAGTCTGTGAGGGAAAGGCCTACGTGGAACTTGTGTGGGTAAGGATCTTCATTGGTTCCTTTCAGCTGCTGGATTGCCTGACTGCGGATCTTGTAATATTGCTGTCATCAGTCATAAACAAGAACATTTATGTTAGACACCAAAGGGATTGTACAGCTCACAAGTTAAAGCAGAGTTGATTTGACTTCTGAATATTTATTTGACTACAAAAGTTAGACAATACCTGAGTGACTAAGGCTTTTTCACCTCAGAAGAGTCAGCTCTTCTGACAGAAAGCACAAAAAAAGGCAGAGGGCACTTAAGAGGTTGGACTAAGAAGAGGCTAAATGAATGCAGTGATGAAGCAAGAAGAAGAGAGTCATTGCTTTAAGCCATTACCATTCAAACCTTAGATACAGTAACTTCTCACTTAACATTGCAGTTATGTTCCTGAAAAATGCGACTTTAAGCGAAACGATGTTAAGTAAATCCAATTTCCCCATAAGAATTAATGTAAATGAGGGGATTAGGTTCCAGGGAATTTTTTTTCACCAGACAAAAGACTGTGTGTGTATATATATATATATACGTTTTAAACAAACAATTTAATACTGGTACACAGTGTTGATGATTGTGAAGCTTGGTTGAGGTGGAGGAGTCAGAGGGTGGGATAGTTCCAAGGAATGCCTTACTGCTAAATGATGAACTAGCAATTGGCTGAGCCCTCAAGGGTTAACTCTCACAGTCTACAAGGCAGCAGGAATGGAGGGAGGGGAGAGAGCATCGCAGACAGAGAGTGAGTGAGTGGCGCATTTCCCCTTTAACTACACTGCCTTGTTAATTAGATCAGCTTGCTGAGACCACAGCTGCTGCTGCCAGTGAGCTCTCTCTGTCCTGAGCCCTGTTGTGTGTCCCCCCTGCTCTATGGAAGATGGGGTAAGCGGGGTGCAGGAGCAGGGGGACACCCTGACATTAACCCCTCTCTTCTTCCCCTCCCCCCCGCACAGCAAGCAGAAGTCTCGAGGAGCAGCTCCAAGGCAGAGGGCAGGAGCAGCACATGGCAGGAGGGACAGCTGCAATTGTTAACCTCCTGGGCAGCTGCTGCACAGGGAACTTAGGGGAGCGGGGAGCTGATAGGGGGGTTGCCAGTCCACCCTGGTTCCAACCACCCACCAGCTAGCTCCACCGGGCTGCTCTTCCTGCAAGCAGTGGACAAAGCAGGCGGCTGCCAAACAACGTTAGAAGGGAGCATTGCACAACTTTAAACGAGCATGTTCCCTAACTGATCAGCAACGTAACAACGTTAACCGGGACGACTTTAAGTGAGGAGTTACTCTCCCTCAGGCAGTTTTTTTGGGGAATATTAGTAATCCTTGCTTGCAGCCTCACTGTCCAGCTAAGAACATAAGAACGGCCACACTGGGTCAGACCAAAGCTCCATGTAGCCCAGTATCCTCCCAATACCAGGTGCTTCAGAGGAAATGAACAGAACAGGTAATCATCAAGTGATCCATCCTCTGTCACCCATTCCCAGTTTCTGGCAAATAGAGGCTAGGGACACCACCCTTGTCCATCCGGGGTAATAGCCTTTGATGGACCTATCCTCTATGGACTTATCTAGTTCTTTTTTGAGTCCTGTTATAGTCTTGGCCTTCACAACATCCTCTGGCAAAGAGTCCCACAGGTTGACTGTGTGTTATGTGAAAAAATACTTCCTTTTGTTTTAAAACTGCTGCCTATTAATTTCATTTGATGACCCCTAGTTCTTGTGTTACATGAAGGAGTAAATAACACTTCCTTATTTACTTTCTCCACACCAGTCATGATTTTATTGGAAGGTTGGAACATAACCCTAGTGAAATGCTGCTAATGACGCTCCTTTTGCGGGATAAATCCCATATCTCAGTCATTCTAGAAGATAGACCATATATGCTCCTAGCTAGCACAATATAACACGCAGGGAGCAGATTTCTTATTCAACTGAAATTAGGTATATTAATAAACTGGATTTTTTTGATCATCTTTATATTGTGCATAATTTTTTTTCCACATTTTAAGTAGTAAGGCAAAATTCCTATTGCAGACAGTGGCCAAGCAAGCACATAAACCAAACACCCATCTGAAATAGCCTCCCAGCTAATGTTCCTGAAAAGGTGCAGTTCAGAGCTAGCTCGGGCCATAGTTCACTTCCATTCTAACTCTCCAGCTCAGCACTGATTAGCAATCAAACAGGAATCAGTAAGACTTATTCTCATAGTCCTAACAGGCATTGGCCAAACTACTCACATTGGGGTCCAGGCTTTCCTCATCAGCTCCATTGCAGTTCTCAGATCCCAGGGTCAAGGCAGATTTGCTCAGATGCTTCTCACTTTGCTCTTTTTGCTTTGCCTCTTTGTCAGCTACTTTTCTCTCAGCCTTCAAACGTCTCTTCAGCTCACTAGAAAAAGAGAGGAAAACAGTCACAGAAGCCACTTTGAAACTTACAGAAAGAAACACTTGCCAGAGAGATTCTGTCCAAGGGTCACCTTATACTGAACTCTCTCTCCTCTCCCCAAGAGGACATGCTGCCTTGCTCCACCTCATAGGAAGTGATAAGTACCCAAATTCTATTCTGAGCTGCTCCAATCTCTCACCTTACAGTCAGCAGTATCCAGAGAAAGCAGTACTAGCTGGGCATTGTCTCATATAGAGGAAATGTGCTTGTTTTTTTCTTGACCCTACACTGTTCACCTTTCACAGCCCTAGAAACTTTACATAACAGACAGTCAAAATAAGGTAAAAGTCTTCAGTGAGAGAAGCACCAAGGATAATTACAGTACACTTTGAAGCAACTAAAGTGTTTTCCCCCTGGGCACAACAGATATAGAGTCTCCAGTCTATAACAAGCACCATGCATATCTGTAACCTACTTAGGCACCAAATAAAATTAATAGGCAGCAGGTTTAAAACAAATAAAAGGAAGTTCTTCTTCACGCAGCGCACAGTCAACTTGTGGAACTCCTTGCCTGAGGAGGTTGTGAAGGCTAGGACTATAACAGCGTTTAAAAGAGAACTGGATAAATTCATGGTGGTTAAGTCCATTAATGGCTATTAGCCAGGATGGGTAAGGAATGGTGTCCCAGCCTCTGTTTGTCAGAGGATGGAGATGGATAGCAGGAGAGAGATCACTTGATCATTGCCTGTTAGGTCCACTCCCTCTGGGGCACCTGGCATTGGCCACTGTCGGTAGACAGGATACTGGGCTAGATGGACCTTTGGTCTGACCCCGTATGGCCGTTCTTATATTCTAGGCTCAAATTCTCAAAAGTATTTAGCGCCTGACCTCCATTGAAGTAAATGGAAGATAGAAATAGCCTAAATACCTTTGAGGATCTAGGCCTTAATCACCCCAGGACCTCCACTCTACCACGTGCTCCACAGACAAGTGACAAAGCACAAAGGTTTCTATGGTGCCCCAGGGCCCCCCGGCAAAAGCGGGGATTCCATGAGAGGATTCATCAGGGAAGGTCAAGACACTCGCCCGCCACCTGTAGCGTCCCGGGCAGGGCTTCCCGGGCAGGGACTTCATGAGAAAGCAGGTGGCGACACTCAAGACGAGAGCAACAAATCACCAACCTTCTTTGGTCATGAAGTGCCTGGAGCCTTCGGAGAGCGGGGCAGGCGGCGCGGGGAGGCCGAGCGCGCCAGGCCCAGCCAAAGCGGCCCCGAAGGAGCCGAGCGGCTGCTGGGTTCAGCATGGCGCGGGCGCTCGGCTCTAGAGACCGTCACCTGGTAGGAAACAGACACCGGATCAGCGAAGGGCCGCGTCTCCCGGGGCCCCGCCCAGGCCGCCCGCTCCCCAGGTCCCGGCACAGACCCCCAACCCCGCGCTCTCACTTTTTGCTAAGAGGGGCCTCAGCCTCCACCGCGTCACCGGCCGGAGCAGCCCCGGCCGCCGCCGCCATCTTCCCAGGCCGGAACGAGAGAGAAGGAGCACTTCCGGGTCAGAGACCATTTGGGGCAGGGCCTGGCGGCATCCTGGCTTGTGCGCGCGCGCAGATAGGAAGGGGCGGGACTACGGGCGCGCGCGCATGCCGGGTGGCGGGAAGCCTCCAAGTGCGAGTTAAGGCGCGTGTCGGCGGCGCCCGACCATGGCCTCGGAGCGCGCGGGCCCCGCTCGCTCGCGGACGCTGTTCCTGCAGGACGACGGCAGCGCCATGCGCTTCTACGTGCGGCCCGGGCCCGCCAAGCTGCAGCTCGCGCCGCTGATCCTGGCGGGCGGCGGGCGCCTTTGCCGCGTGCAGGAGCCGGGCGCGGTGCTGCTGGCCCAGCCCGACGAGCGCGGGGCCGCGGGCAACTTCGTCTCCACCGAGTACGTGCGGCGCTGCGTGGAGAGGAACGAGCGGCTGCCGCTGGAGCACTACCGGCTGGCGGCGGAGCAGGCCCCGGCCCCGGCCGGATCCCCGGCCGGCCGCTCTGCCTTCACGGGCTCCGAGGACCAGGCCATCCTGCTGCACGTGCGGGAGCGGGCGCAGGGCAGCGGCACCGGCACCGCGCTCTGGAAGGAGATGGAGCGGGCCCGGCTGACGCCGCACTCTTGGCAGGCCATGCGGGACCGCTACCTGCGGCACCTGCGGGGCCAGGAGCACAAGTACCTGCTGGGCGGGCCCGGCCCCGCGCCGCCCCGCCGCCTCGCCAGGAGCGCCCGGCAGCCGGCGGAGAGCGGTGCGGATAAGCGGGGGCGGCGGGGTGGGGGCGGCCCGTCGGAGGCAAAGACTTGCTGGGCTTTGTTCCTAGCTCTGCCGCTGCCCTGTGTAATCTCCACCTGTGTGTGCCTGGGGATAAGTGCCACCCACCCACCCTGGCCTGCAAAGCACCTGGGCCACGCCCATGTAGACCAGCATTCATTCAGCCTTTGGGGTTAGGTGAGCATAGCAGGCACACAGCCATAAACACACCTCAGTGACCTGTATTCATGAAATCCTAGAAACCTGAGCTGCAAAAGCTGCAGTAGATCTAGTGCTTCCTCCAGTATGCTCTCACAGTGTTTGGGGGAGTCTGGCTGGAAATGCCCCAAGCCTGGAGTTGCCCCCACATTCCTTGGAGAAACTGTTCCACAGTCTAATAGGCATATCCAGAAGCTTTTCATTGTAATTTAGGCTGAACAGAATTAAATCCTAATGCCATTATATAAATGTAATGGCATGACATCAGCAGGAATCCTTTGTTCAATTCTGGTAGATTTGTCTTGAGAAAGAGAGCACAAAGATCAGATGGGCAGTGAAATTAGTGTGGAAAGGCTTTCATGTGAGGAGTGTGAAAACATTGTGACTGTTTAGAGAGGAGTTGAGTAGGAAGGTACAAGAGATGTTTATACAAAATAAGTGGTGTAGTAAAAATAAACTGGGTAATGCTAATTTTCCTATCTCATAATACAAGGAAATTAAAGATGGCAAATTTAAAATTGATCAAAGGAAATATTTACCCCAACAGTTAAGCTGTTAATTCATTGCCACAAGATACTGAGGTTGGTCTACATTAGGAACTTAGGTCAGTGTAACAATGTCTGTCACGGGTATGGATGTAGTTATACCAACCTAACCCCCAGCATAGACAGTGCTATGTCAATGGGAGGTTTTCTCCTGTCGACATTACTACCACCTCTCTGGAAGGTAGAGTACCTACACGGACATACTTTTTGCCTTCCTCTGCAGCATGGGGCACAGGTCACTTGCAGGTTTAAACTAGTGTAAATGGTTCATTCATTTGTAACTTGAAGTCTTTAAACCATGGTTTGCGGACTTCAGTAACTCAGCCAGAGGTCGGGGTCTATTCCAGGAATGGGTGGGTGAGGTTCTGTGGCCTGCAATGTTCAGGAGGTCAGACTAGATGATCTTGCTAGTCCCTTCTGAATTTATAAACTATAAGTCTGTTCTGTAAATCTGAAAGTCCAAACTCTGCTAGTGATCCATGAAAGTTCAGTTTGGTACCATATGATTGAATTTAATTTCTCAGCTTTAAAAAAAACAAAACCAAAAACATTTTAAAAAAGCATCTAAGGAGCATTGAGTTCTTGACTTTGCAACCTTAAGAGTTAGGAAATGCCAGATTTCAAGTCATACAGGTGGCTTTAATTTGGCTCCCTTGTGCAGATGCATGTTGTCTTAATGACATGATAGCTTCAGTGCACAGAATGGATGGTCTCTGAGAATGAATCAGGGTTGTTTGGTGTGAGATTTTTTGATAGGTGTAACGTTTACTGCTTTAATTCCTTGGATCACTCCTAGAATCTTTGTTAAAACTGAACATAGACCCACGGCTTCCTCACCCTATACCTCGTCTGGACAGAAACCATTAACTCTGCCAGAACATGAGTTTCTTCTTGTCCTTTCAGAGTGATTAGAAGACTACCAAACTGATTACTCGTAGCAGTCAGTAGGATGTGAAATGTAATCTGAAGTTATGATTAGGAGGATAATAGCATTGCAGTTACACAGCAAATGCCAATGTTCTCTCTCTCTAACAGAGTCCTGGAGGAAGGAAGTAGCTGATGTACCCCATGGAGTGGTTCAAGACCAATTAACAAAAGGGGGTAGCCTTTTCCAGCTGGCTAACAAAGAATTTGAAGGCAGTGAGGTATACATTCATAGTTGGACAGCTGTATCTGCATAATGTGATCACACAGATGTGTTGAATGTTTTCTGATGTATAGATTAAAATCCCAAACTTAGTTAAGCCTCAAATTTACTACGTAAACCTTCATAAATAACTTTAATCTTAAATATGACTTTGTTCCTGTGTGAATAACACCGGGATGCTGATTCTCTCTACCGCTTTGTAGTAATATTAGTTAGGGTGTGCTAGCTCAGGGATAAAGGAGTTTTCAGCAGCCGGCCATATTGGGGGCCCCTGATTACAGCAAGACCTGCTCTGCTTGTGATAAAAACCTTTACCATTCCCAAGACTGCTTCCCACTTCTGATACTTTTCAGCTTGACCATTGAATCAGGAATTGACAGTGGTGGTAAATCAGCTGGGTGCAATATTTGTGTGGCATGAAAAACAACGGGACCAGTGACGGGGGGAGAACAATTCAGGGGTTAGTCAGAACAGCTTGGTACATCAAGGTAGCAGAGAGGGAGTTGAGTCTTGTGTTGGTGCCAAAGAGAGGATAGTATTGGCAATATTGGAAAGGATGGGGTATGTATATATAAAGTTATAAACACATGGGTTACACCAGCCATCTCCCTGGAGAATGACCATCAGACAATCATGGTTATAACTTACAAACTGCTTCCTAGGGTTACCTAGAACTGACTAAAATCAAATTAACAACAAGTGTGGCTAAAATGCCTTTTGTAAGACTGTAAGCATCTGGAGCATGCCATCCTGTGAAGTATTTCTCTAATTCACAGGTGCAGATTTATTCTCTCTAGCTGGGCAATTATGGCTTAATATGGATACAGCATGCTTTTTTATACCAATGGCTTACATTTTTAATAACGAAGAAGCAAAAATAGCTTCAGCAGCAATAAATGTGTTTTCCAAGTTCTGTTCTGATTTAAGATGAATTACATTACAAAATTACTGCTAGTCAATTGATTCCCAGATAATAAATAAAATAAGACATGTTTTCTAGGTGTTAACTCAGATGACTATTTAAAGTGTTAACATTTTAAACTTTTACACTGCTAGCTAAAGCATGTAAGGAGGAAGGATATTATTAACTACACAACTTACTATGAATGGTGTCATTGTGGCATATCAAGTAAAAAGAGCATGACTAATTTTTTCCAATTTGACCCTGTCCAGAAACTTGAGGATGTTAGACGAGACCAAAAATGGTTGATAAAGAATGGTCATCTGCACATCACCGTCATTGAGTTAAGTTGTAAGTGCTAAAGCTCCATTGGCTAGTAGGGAGTGACTCACTAAGGGTATGTCTTCACTACCAACGGCAGCGCTTTAACATGGCTGTGTAGTTGCGGCACTAGCGCTGTAAAAAAAACACCCCACACGAGGGGAGTAGCTACCAGCGCTGGTGCACTGTCTACACTGCCACTTTACAGCTCTGAAACTTGCTTTGCTCAGGGGTGGTTTTTCATACCCCTGAGCGAGCAAGTTTCAGCGCTGTAAAGTGGCAATGTAGACAAGGCCTTACTGTCACAAGCAGGGTGTGCTCCTTGAGCAGATTTACACAACTCACAATGACAAAACTTAATTCCTGACTCTGGTTAGATTTAGTTTATTTAAATCCTGTCCCTTGTCTCCTGCCTTTCCACATTCCACTGTATCGTGGGTGTTGTGCATTGCTGTACTTGGTTTATTGGATTTTATTGTGCACAGCTATCATGTTCAACACATCGGTATACTTTAGAAGGATTCATATGGGAGGAGGGGAGGACAGCACTGCTCTGGACTCCTAATTTAGCAGTTTTGTTAGAGTGAGTGACATTCCACTATAACTCAGTCAAACTTTTATTCCTAGTCAGAAAATGAGACCTCTGACCTTCAGGAAGAAAATCCTGCAAAAGATGAAGAGCTGAAGTCCCCTGAAAAAACAGTCTCCAGTCAGAAAAGGGAACTGAAAGAATTGGTAACTGCTGAGGACTCTGCTATAAATGAAACTGAGCCTCAAGAGGAGGAAAAGCCCACAAGGTCTTGCCCTTCCCCCACAGAGGTGGCAGATGCAGTGAAGACAGTACAGCACTTCATGGAGGAATTCAGCATGGACCTCTCAACTGTTACACAAGCCTTTCTGAAAAACAGTGGTGAAGTGGAGGCCACTTCCTACTTCTTACATAACAGTCAGCGCTTGGATGGATACCCTATATGGAGCAGACAGGATGATTTAGATTTGCAAAAAGCAGATGAAAATGTCAGAAGCAAATTAATAGCAAAATTTGGAGCTCAGAATGTGGTAAAGCGGGTTGCGTTCAGGAAGAGTTAGATAGTAACTTGTGAAGGATGGTTCATGGACTGGGACCCTCACAGGAGAGCAGGAGATGAGACTTACATCTCTGACCTTCATGGAAGAAAGGGTGAGGATTTGTAGATGTTCTGAAGCCTCTAGGATAGCCACCTGCAATCTCATTTCATACAGAAAAATTGGCATCAAAAATTAAAAGACCTCTGTGCCAAACAGTTTGTCCTTTCCATCATTTTCTGTAAACTTTTCCCTTGAGGTTCCGTGTTTATGCAAGGCCTTGTTTTATATTTGTGTTTTTTTTTTGGTACATGCTGAGTACCCCGCTGATAAATTTAAAACTAAAATATTGGGTGAAGATGAGAGCACCTTAATCTCTTCAGAGCTGAGTGGCTGAGCAGTGGAAATCTGCTTTTTCCTATACACGAGGGAGAAGAGTCTGCACATTGGTCCGTTGAGATGGGATGATACATGAACATGCATTTCAATATATTTTAATTTGCATTAAGGTGGGAAGGTGTGCCTCATTATACAAACAAAAACAGCATCACCCTCTTGCACCTGTAAGGCTTCCCTGTGGTCAGAGGCAGACAAACCTCTCTCTTCTAGGTCAAAGTAAACAGGCTTATTTGATGACAAGACTTGCCTTGGGGTTACAGAGCAAGCATCTTGATTCTCCTTTATGCTCCAGACTTCTGTACCCTTCAGCGTTCTTATAACCCTGTACATCCTGTAAGACTCACTAGCATTGCTGCATGTAGCAGCTGCTAAGCCACCAGTCCTTCCTAACAGATGGCATGATTGTCTAGTCTCAGGATGGGTTTTAAGCTCATTGTTTCCAAGCCTTTGGAGGGAGGAATAGGTTCCACTGCAGAGTGCAGGTATTGAATATATTTATATCATATAAAACTACACTTTCTAGTCAGGAGTTTAATCTAGTATGTTATACAAATGCTAGCTAAGGATTGAAACTTTTTCTGATCACTAGTACCTGACCAAAGCTTGGAAGGGCTTAAACACAGCTAGTAAAGGTCCCGCTAAAGTCTTTCTAGTCTGTCTCTGCCTGTTGTGCTCTGGTTTTGTTTTAAGTTGAATTGGTAGTTAGCAAATGTGGGAATATATTTTTAAATTCAGTTGTAACTTGGTGAGGAAAGAATATCCCTCCAATTCAACACTGTTACATGAGCAGACCTTGCTAGAGAAATGTTATACATGCACCCACTAAAATGCCAGTAGCATGTTTTTACCTCTACAAAGTGCTCTAAGACCTATTGGTTAACAAAATGACAAGAGTGCAATGATGTGGATGCTAAATTAAAGCCTTTCAAACTGGTTCTTCAAGATTTTTATGGAAGAGGCAAGTGTTTAGCTGGAGGTCCTAAGCTAGTGAGGCAAATAATGTAAGATTAAAAAGGATTAAACACTTTTTACATGAATAGCAGCAGTAGTTACCAGATAAGTTTAAGTTTCAAGGACTATTGAGTATCAAAACTACATTAAGTTCAATTACTCACTGCAGCCAAGAACTTCCTTCACTTCACCTGTAACATTTAGTCAGATGCATTATGAGATTTCATGTTATATGAAGTACCTTTCTTAAGTTATCACAAGTTATATTATTAGTTAAATATAATTGTGTATAAATGTAAAAATATTCAGGCATAAAGCAAATAGACAGAGGAAACAATATGGATGCCTTGCCTTCTGCCTGGATGTCAAGTGGATGCATGATTAAGGATGGGTTTCTGTTTTCAGGATATGGAATAAACGCTGCCATACAGAATATTTAGCCCTTGTCTAGTATTTTCACCTTTAAATGTGCGTACAAAGATTACTCCTAACACTGGGGCTAGAAGGCATCTATTACCTTGAATCATAGTTCAGCATTTGTACATATTCTACTCAAATGTAGTTTTCCTATTTGTAGAAACAGTATAAAAAAGCATGATAGGAAGTGAACATGTTGGGCAGGATGCAGCCCTCCTTTTTCCATCTGTTTAAAACTTAATTACAATATGCACTGTTTAAACTAGAGGGTCACACATTTTTGCTTCTGTAGGCTGAGCAAATTGCACACACCAGGGTCTCCTTGCCTCCTTCCATCCCCACACACACAAGCTCTCTGAGTGCCTTCCTTCTAGGGACTCCCTGCAAGCCCCACATCCCTCCCACAGGCCAGAAGCTGTCTCCCCCTCCCCACCTCTATTGCCCCCTCCCCTCTTATCAGGGTCCTTGTTCTCCCTTTGACAGGGGTTCTGTGTGACTTGCTCTCTCAAATCTAGATGAACACTGCATCTTGAGCATACAGATTGCTGTGACAGAACCAGTCACTGAATCCTCTATGCATTAAAACTGCAGTTTGAACAGAGTCCAGGCAAACACTCTTGGGGTATAGATCCTCCATATGGAACCCCCCTCCTCAGAGGTGAGGCCCCACAGTCTGACTGTCCAGTCACTGGCACCAGTGCTGACTCTTTATAGACTCTCCCCGTATCTATACCCTCTCCCAGAATGCCACTCAAAAGGTATGAGCTTTCTGTTTTACAGTTTACCTCTTCAAGGCACAATATGTATAATGCAAGCAGGAAAACTTGGTACAGGATTCTAACACCCCATCGCTCTTCAAGAGCTATGATAATAGCAAGAGAAATGCACAGCTCTATCAAAGAAATAATATACCCTACATGCATGAGCTTTTGCGTACAGGGGCTGCTAACAGGGAGTTTTGCAAGGGAGTTTGGAAGGGAGCAGGAAGGGAGCGCGAATCCCTTGCCGGTTCTATCTTATACCCTTTATTCCCCTTAAAACCTATAACCCAAACTACATTCAAAACTTCTTGCTTTAAACAACCCCTTCATTAACTAGGAGACAATGCAGGCAGAAGCCCAGCTGCAGAGTGGGGGCTATCCAGTTTATTGCACTGAGTGTAGCATGTACGATTACCTGCCCTGTGGGCGGGTGGCGTATGTGTGCATTCGGTGCAAGGAGCTCCTGGCCCTCAGAGACCACGTACGGACTCTGGAGGCAAGGGTGGCGGAACTGGAGGAGCTAAGGGAGGCAGCGAGGTATGTTGATGAGGCTTTCCGGGACACTGTAGAATTGTCCCACCTCCGGTCAGACAGCCCCTGCGCTGTTGAGGAGGATGAAAGGCCCAGGGAAGCAGAGCAGGCAACGGGAGCAGAGGGAAACCTTCCCATAATTGGGACCCTCCTTCCAGATGGTGCTGGGGTTGCCTCTCGCACTGAGGTTACCTCTCCGGGGGAGGGAACTCCAGTTGCTAGGAAAAGGCAGGTGTTAGTAATGGGAGATTCAATCATTAGAAACGTAGATAGCTGGGTTTGTGATGACCGGGAGAACCGTATGGTGACTTGCCTGCCTGGTGCGAAGGTTGTGGATCTCTCGAGGCATCTAGACAGACTTATGTGTAGTGCTGGGGAGGAGCCGGTGGTCGTGGTACATGTAGGTACCAATGACATAGGGAAGGGTAGGAGAGATGTCCTGGAGGCCAAATTTAGGCTGCTAGGGAAGAGACTGAAATCCAGGACCTCTATGGTGGCATTCTCAGAAATGCTCCCAGTTCCACGCGCAGGGCCAGGTAGGCAGGCAGAGTTTCAGAGTCCCAATGCATGGATGAGACGATGGTGTAGAGAGGAGGGGTTTACATTCATTAGAAACTAGGGAAACTTCTGGAATGGGGGGAGTCTATACAGGAAGGATGGGCTCCACCTAAACCAAAGTGGAACCAGACTGCTGGCACTAAACATTAAAAAGTTTGTAGAGCAGTTTTTAAACTAGGAGATGGGGGAAAGCCGACTGCTGCAGAGGAGCATGTGGATCGGACAGAGACTTCTCTTAGGGGAGAGTCTAATGATAGAGAATCTCCAGGTTATAGTCAGGAGCAGAGGATGGAAGAGGATAAAGTAGGGGCCAGATCAGAAGATAAACATTCACATAAAAAAGAATGATACATCAGAAAAGGGCAGACAAATAAACAGTGACAAGTTTTTAAAGTGCTTGTACACAAATGCTAGAAGTCTAAATAATAAGATGGGTGAACTAGAGTGCCTCGTGATAAAGGATATTGATATAATAGGCATCACAGAAACCTGGTGGACTGAGAGCAATCAATGGGACACAATCATTCCGGGGTACAAAATATATCGGAAGGACAGAACAGGTCGTGCAGGGGGGGGAGTGGCACTATATGTGAAAGAAAATGTACAATCAAATGAAGTAAAAATCTTAAGCAAATCCGCATGTTCCATAGAATCTCTATGGATAGAAATTTCATGCTCTAATAAGAATATAACATTAGGGATCTATTATCGACCACCTGACCAGGACGGTGATAGTGATGATGAAATGCTAAGGGAAATTAGAGAGGCTATCAAAATTAAGAACTCAATAATAGTGGGGGATTTCAATTATCCCCATATTGACTGGGAACATTTCACTTCAGGACGAAATGCAGAGATAAAATTTCTCGATACTTTAAATGACTGCTTCATGGAGCAGCTGGTACGGGAACCCACAAGGGGGGAGGCAACTCTAGATTTAGTCCTGAGTGGAGCGCAGGAGCTGGTCCAAGAGGTAACTATAGCAGGACCGCTTGGAAATAGTGACCATAATACAATAGCATTCAACATCCCTGTGGTGGGAAGAACATCTCAACAGCCCAACACTGTGGCATTCCCCCTAATTTCAAAAGGGGGAACTATGCAAAAATGAGGGGGTTAGTTAAACAGAAGTTAAAAGGTACAGTGACTAAAGTGAAATCCCTGCAAGCTGCATGGGTGCTTTTTAAAGACACCATAATAGAGGCCCAACTTCAATGTATACCCCAAATTAAGAAACACAGTAAAAGAACTAAAAAAGAGCCACTGTGGCTTAACAACCATGTAAAAGAAGCAGTGAGAGATAAAAAGACTTCCTTTAAAAAGTGGAAGTCAAATCCTAGTGAGGCAAATAGAAAGGAGCATAAACGCTGCCAAATTAAGTGCAAGAATGTAATAAGAAAAGCCAAAGAGGAGTTTGAAGAACGGCTAGCCAAAAACTCCAAAGGTGGTAATAAAATGTTTTTTAAGTACATCAGAAGCAGGAAGCCTGCTAAACAACCAGTGGGGCCCCTTGATGATCGAGATACAAAAGGAGCGCTTAAAGACGATAAAGTCATTGCGGAGAAACTAAATGGATTCTTTGCTTCAGTCTTCACAGCTGAGGATGTTAGGGAGATTCCCAAACCTGAGCCGGCTTTTGTAGGTGACAAATCTGAGGAACTGTCACGGATTGAAGTGTCATGAGAG